TCACTGGATGCTGATATCCCATCCAAACCTGCCTGTCTCCTTAAAGGACCCTCGATGAGATGAATGTGTTCCATGATACATCTTTTTGGCAAGCTTGTAATGTATTATTTATCAACGTAGCTTCTTCCAAGTATTAATAACATATATTCTCCCACTTCTACTGTGAAATCTTTTTTTTCAGCTTAACTGAGTTCAGAAAAGAAATTTAAACTTTATTCTGTGATAATTAATATCTTATTTGATAAGGTAATCTACAGCAGGGCATCTTTGGTATAAGCCCTTTGGGAAACTGTTGTCCTGATTATGTGATGCAAAAATATTTACCCTGCAGCAGTTAGTGTTAAAGGACCTTCAGTCCCTTTTCTCAGTCTGCACTTGGACTTCTTGGCGCTGTTGACCAACGATGAGTAATGTGATACTGGAGGTCTCAACTGCCAGCAACAGTGAGGGCTCTTCAGGTCTTGCCAGATCTGAACTTGGCACCTACCTGGACCTGATTTTAAAGGCTTATTTTTCACATAAACTAAAATTCTGCACAAATATCCTTTTAGCTGTGGTAGTCAAGCAAATGACAAACTCCATTTCCTGGCAGGTAGTTACTCTGAATCATTGCAACATTTTCAAAGAGCAAAACTGAAAAATACGGTTAATACATAGAAATAAAATTCATACTCAACTTTTTTTCTATCAATTATTTTTGTTTAGCTGTAATTAGCCTTGTGTCTCTGTGAATTTCAGGCACATTAGACATCGTCTCACATACCTCTTAACCAAATGGGACTGGCTAAGTAAATCCCCATTGATCAGGATTTTTGCTTTTACTGTTTCAATTAAACAGAAGTTCTTAGTTTATGAGAATATAAATATGTTGCCTGTAACACATTGCAAAAGAAAAGAATGTTTCAGTTAACTGTCCACCTTAATCAAACTTGTTCCAATACACCAGAGTCCCCATACTGACATTTTAGCTTGTAAGCCATGCTAAAAGTTATTTTCAATATCAACATGAGCTTCCAATATTATTCTCTTCTGTTTTGTTGAGAGTCACTGCTATAATTCGGCTTCTGTGACATTTGATATAATAGAAAGAAAAGGTTTTCAACGCTATTAGCATGTAAAGCACAGGACAAGGTTGGTCTCCTGTGATTTTTTTTGCTCCTTCATAGCAAAAAATGGGCAAAGACGTCATAACTACAGTGCATGCATTAAATGAGACCTCAAGGCTATCTTGTTCAAAGAGGATGATATATTCCATTTCTCTGTGTCATGAAAACTGTCTGACATTATGTGAGACGTGTATTTTTTGCAACACCATAGTAGATGAAGGCATACAATAAAATAGAGAATTACTAAGGCCCCTAACAACAAAGAAAGTAAAATATACAACTGAAAATCAGACACAGGAAAGAACATTGGGCCCAAGGAACTTGCCAATGCACTGAGTTTTTCAATTTCCAAGCAGTTACATCATTTCCTCTTGCACTTGTGGTACCCTTCCAGCAGCAGAGGTTCCAGCTGAAAAGAAGGAGCAGACTGCAGTGGTGGGAGGTTTAACAAGCATTGAGGACGAGGACAGTGGAAATGTTGGTTCAAAGAGACCCTCTGGGATGATTTGCTTGTTGACCAGATTTGGAGCAAGTCACATGCTTTGACAGGATGTCAGGAAACACAAGGAGGCGCTAGTGGCTGTAGTCCATGTGAGCTCTGACAAAATAAGGTAAGACTGGACAAACGTCTTAGGGGTAAAATTTAGGCTGGCAAGCGAAAGCTGAAGTTAAGGACATTCATAGTAGCATAACCTGAAGTTGTCTCACAATGTACGATCAGGGAGAGAAAGATGGAAAGGCAAATCTTTAAATGCCTGGCTGAGAAAAAGGTATAAAGAGAAGGGATTCACATTATTGGAAAGTAAGGGAACTTGCTAAAGAATGGGTGCCCACAGAGAAGATGCAAAATTCATTTTGGCCATGGGAAAAACAGGTTTCAGAAAGTTTAAAAACTTTCCTATGACTACTGTGATTCTAGCTGAAGAGTTCAGGAAAATTTGCAGGTCTTGGAAAGCACACAATTCAAAAAAATGCAAGAGTACACAGTTCAGATGAAGGGTGCAGTCACCAGAAGTCTGCATTCTTCACTGAAGAATGCCACAAAAGGTGATGGTAGTCCAGTAGGAAATGCAGAAATGGTAGAGCACACAGAATCAAACTAAGGAAGGAGTTTCTCCTCCAGTAAAGGGGAGAAAGAAAACCACAATATAAAGCCAAGGGTTAAAATGGGAACTAGTATGGGTAGCTTTAATGTCTAACACTAAACAAGAATATCAGCATAATAAGTATGTTCAAAATCTGTGGGAAAGAAGAAAATTAGTCAGGCAGCACAGTACCAAGGAGCAAAATACACAGGAAAGGCAAAGTAGACCTTATCAGTGGAGGAATAATGATGGCTGTTAAAGGAAGCTCGAAGTCGAATAAAATTTAAAAAAGAGAACAGTATTAACACTAGCTAGTCAGGAAAAGTTCTTTAGTTCTTCTAAATTTTACAGCAACCATAATGAGTTTAAAAGCAGTATCTGTGCAGGAGCAGTAAGAGCCAAAATTACATGATGGTTGTATGCAGTTAAATAAAAAAGAAAAAAAAAAAGAAGTGTAAATAAATAAACCTAGGGATATTGCTATAAAAAATCTGAATGAGATAGCTGAGGGTTAAATCACTGTGGGTGATGTGGATATTACCTAGGGACACAGCAAATGCACAGCACCCATTAAAAAACAAGTCAGCAAGGGTAAACAACATAGCTAATAAAAGCAAGAACATATCTTTCAAAAAAATGAAGTTGTGTCTCAGGGAGAACAATAGAAAGAACCATAAAATCTGCTTTATCTATAAAACCACAATAAAGAAGACAAAAAATGACTTTGAATAAATCTCTGGCAAACAAGCTAACAATAATTGTCTTTTAAAGACATCTGGAAGCAAAAGCCTGAGAGAGACTGTGTAAAGTCAACCCAAAATTGAGATCTAGAAGAAGTGCTCAGAGAAGATAAGATCACAAGTGTAAAACTAATAAATTTTTTTCTTTGTGTTCAGTGTAGAATAGCTGGGGAATTTTTCTGTCCTGGACCCCTTCTTTATGGGGGACTTATCAGAAGGTTAAGTTAGCTATAGAAGCAGTTGTGGAACAAACAGACACAACAGTAACAAATCATTGGGATTAGCTGTTACATGCCCAAGAGCCTGAAGGATGAAATAAGTGAACTATTATGATGTGTAATATTTTGCTTCAAACCACTGTGGCACATGAAGTCTTGGAGGTGCTATTATAACACTGATTTTTTTCCCCGAAAGATTTCCAGGGAGTTCTGGGGAGCTAAGGATGGATATGACAGACATACACAGGGTTTTTGCCTCATGGAGAATATCCCATACTGAAAAAAACTCAACACAGCTTTTCTAAATAAAGGTCATATTTTGTAACACTTTCTGAATTATTTAAAGAGGTCAACGTGCAGGTAGATACGTAGGGATGGATTCAAAACAAATGAGGGGAAGCTGTTTGCTGTATGATATATGATTAATCTGTGCACCTCATTAACATAGGATGTTGTGGACTCTGAAATTTTACATAAGTTTCAAAGCAACGGGGCAACTTGCTGTAAGAAAAATCCATTGAGGGTTGTTAAATACAAAGGCACCATCTGGGCTAAAAATCATTAGAAACTGAGGAAATGTTCTGGAGTATTGTTTGGCTTGTTTTTATGTATAGCCTCTAGATGACAGTGTAAGAGACAGAAGGCAGGGCCAGATGGATCTTTGTCTTAATATGGTCATTCTTACATGCCTGTAGAATGCAATATATTTTCATACTGAGGAAAAGAAGAAGAATTTCTATATGAGAGAAAACTGTGAAGTTTCAGGTGTGGTTTGGCACCTAAGGAGCATTTATAATACGTAAAATGGGTTTATAATTCATGTGCAAGAAAAGAGATACATAGTAAAAAGCTGCCATGATCTTACTGCAAATTCACACAAATTTTCTCATATGAATTTGCCTTATTAACAACTTTTAGCAGCTAATTGTTTTGGCATAGTTATCAAGGTCTATGCTTGATTAGTGTCTGCATTTCAAAGGTACGGAATATACAAGACCAGTAAATTTAAGGAGAGCAGTAAGTGACAATCGTGCTAATCATACACAGACTATGAAACTCTTTAAATTAGCATACTTCTGAAAAGCCTCATTTAAACTAATTGATATGAAATGTTATAAATTATCAGTGGAAGATCACTATTTTGAGGCTGTAAGTGTTTTCAAGGATACTTTTGGGCCAAGACATGTAAAAAATCTGTTCCTGATTATCATAACAACAGTGCTTAGTGTGAGCCAGTTCTGTCTTTGGTACCTGGAAGTCTCAGGTTATAACCTTTTGTCATTTGAAGGGGATCGTCCAGTTTCCCTTGACAAAATAGTATTTGCCAAATCATTTTTAAAGTATAAATTAAATGAACTCTTAGGCTCAGGCTGGTCCTGTGTAATGATGATATATTTCCTCTTAAACATTCAAAACTCATACTTTCAAATTGAGCTTTATATTATTTAAAAAAACAACAGTATATTCTAAATTTTTTTCATCATCTACTGTTCCTCTTCCTGGATCTCAATTCCTTATCTAAAGGATTTTTCACATTAATACTTTCAGCCATGCTTATTTGAAAATTAGTGCATTTGGAATGCAACATACTCTTAGGAAATCTGGGTGGGTTGTCATTGACATCCGTGAGAGTAATGTTTACAGTGGTAGTACCAGCTAGTCCTCCCAGCTGTCCTCCCATGTCCTTGGCTTGGATTAGAACTTGATATTGTTCTTTCACTTCTCTGTCCATATTTGGCAGAGCTGTTCTTATTACACCTACAAGAAGAAATGGGAAAGAGAAAGAACAAGTAAACAAAGGGCTGTGATTGTCTACTATTACATTTTAATACTGGATCTCTTGGACCAGGAATGGTACTCCTCTTAAAGGGTTCATAAGAGAGGAGTTCACACACAAACATGCAAATCACTCGGGCTTTTCAAAAGTGTGCTCGTCAGCTATTAAACCATTCAAAATGACTGCTGTGTCTTTTCAATCAGGACATGAATGGCTGAAAGAGAATTGTGCATTTTCACTAGGGATTCACTATGGCATGAGCATAGGTTCGCCACATTGGGATCAAAGAACGCTGCACTGTGCAGAGTAGGGCAATGTAGGAGGAGGTGGCAACGCATTTCAGAGACTGCATCTTCAATTGTTTCCAATCAGTAACTTGCCATCACAGTTAAGCTACTGTGAGCCAAGACAATATTACTTCTGTACAGAAGGTCTTTAATAGAAGACTCTCCTTTGATTGAGAAAGTTTTCTTGATATAGCACATAGATGCAGTGAAAACTTCAGGAGTTTCCATAAAGAAATGTAATTAAAATATCATGGTAAGATATTACCCAAATGACTTAATCTTCAGTGATTTTGGATAGCTGATGTCTAAATAGGTATGCCATAATCCCCCTCTGATATGTTAAGAATGTGTATGATAAAAGGAATTATAGAATTATAGAATCCTTAAGGTTGGAAAAGACCTCCAAGATCATCGAGTCCAACCGTCAACCCAACAACACCATGCCCACTAAACCATGTCCCTAAGCGCCTCATCTACCCGTCTTTTAAATACCTCCAGGGATGGGGACTCAACCACTTCCCTGGGCAGCCT